GACAACATTGGTCTCCAAGTCACTCATAGATCTGACCAACCACTTCAATGATTGGGTTATCTAAACAGTTTATTATGTTTATAATATAAAATAATGTATACTTAACAGATATATATATATATATATATATATATATATATATATATATATATATATATATATATATATATATATATATATATATATATATATATGTATATATATATATATATATATATATATATATATATATATATATATATATATGTATATATATATCATTTGCTAATGTTTTGGTATAATATTGATACATTTCAATATTTTATTTTAGAGGAAAGAAATTTATTAAAAATATTAACTAAACAGCAACAGTCCAAATTTTGTAAATTTTAAAGAGAAGAAAGTGTTACCTGAAGGGCATAACTAACAGAAAGTCCAAGCAATGCACCATTAATTCCAGGTGTTAGGAGAGAGAAAACAGCACTAAAAAATACAACAAGGCTGCTAACAGCCTCAATCCACACACCTAACCATCTGGGAATAAATTGTATAGTTATGTTTTGATTCAATTAATATTACTCAAGTTATTTTTAAAATTTTCAATGTTTTATTGAATATAAAAGTTTACTTTACCTATTGGCTGTAATGCCAGCAAAATAGAAAACAATATTTCGATCAATGCGCTCAACGCAAGTCTGACTAAATCTACCAATGGCATCAAAAGCTCTGATCACATGACATCCAGTTAATGTTTCAGAAAAATGAGAGTAAATTGGAGATCTAGTGACAGCTTCCAATCTTTTAAGTTGGCGAGATGTTGGCACAAAAAATCTCTGTTGACAAATTTGATAATAACCCATATTTCTGTCAGTTTGATTCAATGATTTAAAAAAAAATATTTCTAAAAAGGTTAAAATACAATAAGCTGACCTGAACAGCAAAATATCCAATGAAGAGTGGTATTATGACACTGATGAATATTGGTGTATTGATGCTTATTACAACAAGTGTGGCCATCACAGAGAACACACACATAATCCACATAAAAATGATCTGTGGCAACTGGTTATCTAATGTTTCCACATCTCGAGAAAACCGGTTAACAATTCTTCCTATTGGGGTAGTGTCAAAAAAGCTCATTGGTGCCTTCATGATTCTATCTAGCATGGAGTCGTGCATTGAAGAAGCAGCTGAAACCATTCGGAGTGCCCCCATGCAAGCATATATAAAAACAAACAGAGCTGAAACAAAGTTGATAAAAATTTTTTGTAAATAATAGGTGTAATAATATTTTATGTGTTGGTTTCTTATTTTTTCAAACTCTTAACATTTAAATTTGAGATTGTTTTTCTAAAATAAGATTTAAAAATATAAAACTATAAAAGTTTACCTTGGGCGGCACCAAGGGCTCCATACACTGTTAGGTAATTTTGGTTCTTTACTTTTAAATCAGCTACTGTAATATTTCCTGCCTGAATATCTGGATCACCAGTCCATACAGACAGCCAAATGTTGGCCAGTACACTGAAAACCTGATTTTCAAAGTTATTTTCAAAATTTAAGTAAGAAAGTAAATTTTAAATATTAACCAAGTTATTTGGCATTGATTTATGATTTCTAAAATTAATATAATATAAAATATTTACCATACATGTTATATATAGTAACAAAATACTAAATACCTGGAAAAGGGCGAACATAGAAAAAATAATTATAGTGGAACAATATCCAACATTTTTAAAATAGCTTTGAAATACTCGAAGGTTCACCTGTACAGAAGAATTGGAAAATTAGTTTGAAGTTAATATGCATATTGGCCTATACAGACTAATATATTCATTACAAATATTAGGCTAAAGGGGACTACATTGTAAATAAATAACTCAAGATATTTTATGAGTATAAGCATATTCATATTTATTTATTACACATTTAAAATAAAATACTTAAAAAAAAACTTTTTAAAAAACCACGTTTTTCTTGTGGACTAAAAAGTAGAAAATAACTATTTACATACATTTGATGACAAAACACGTGGGTACGTTCACCATCAAATTTCCCGACCCATCTGCCCGACCCACGTTTTTTGTCATCAAATGTATGTAAATAGTTATTTTCTACTTTTTAGTCCACAAGAAAAACGTGGTTTTTTAAAAAGTTTTTTTTTTAAGTATTTTATTTTCTCCTTTTTAGTCCGTTGCTACACATGAAAAACGTGGTTTTTAAAAAGTTTTTTATATAGTTTATTTTCTACTTTATCTAATCACTTGATTAAGTATGACTTGACTAAGTGTTTTTAAATACACGGACTAAAAAAATCTTGAGCGACCGATACGCTTTAAACAGAGAAAGGGTGTAATTTACGTTGCTGGCGTGGAGATCTACTCACGAATCACGTGATCAAATCTCCCATAAACAAACAAATAAACGCGAAGCTGAGTTAAGGAAAAACGTGTTTATGTGTATTTTAGCATGCCCAGCGTACCAACCGTGTCACCGTTAACAATGTGTTACCGTGTCCGTTCTCCTTTTTAGTCCGTTGCTACACATAAAAAACGTGGTTTTTTAAAAGGTTTTTTTTAAGTATTTTATTTTCTCCTTTTTAGTCCGTTGAAAAACGTGGTTTTTAAAAAAAGTGTTTATAAATACACGGACTAAAAAAATCTTGGGCGACCAGGATTCGAACCTGGGTTGTCGCGGCCACAACGCGAAGTACTAACCACTATACGATCACGGCCAGCGCGCTCACATCGATTGGGGCCGAAGTAACTGTGTCAATAGGCCTCAAGTCTTGTCGGTATCTTTAGAAATCATGTCCTCAATTTCTAAAGTCCTTGGGGCGTAATTAAATTAAGCTAATTACGGTCACTAATTGCTAGTTTTTATGATTGCATCTGAAATTGTTAGGCGAAAGTAGCATGCATGCCAAATTTCAGGTCTCTAGAGCAATCAGAAGTGGGCTAATTTTCGATGTCAATTTTAACAACAAACAAACAAACGCGAAGCTGAGTTAAGAAAAACGTGTTAATATTTGTTGAAATATCACATTTCATTGATATTAGTTTTTATTTCAGGGTACTTTTTGAAAATGATATCAAACACTGCTTACAGATCCTGTTTCAGTAGATTCATCTTCTGTAAGTCTAACCACTGTTCCATTTCCAACCCCACCTCCTGCCACTACAGATGTCAGCTTATAGGGTTCATTCTTATCCTCAGTTGGAGTTGATGGTGATGATCCACTGCCACCAGCCATTGTCTCCAGTCTGATCAGAATTTGCTAATTATCATCAGCATCAATTGGTCATACATTTTTCCTACAATTTATGACTACAAAAACAATGTGAATATTTTTCATTATTCTTAAACTGAGTGATTTATGTAATGATGTTTAAATTGACCTGCTTTGATGGAAGTTAACCACATCTTCTCCTGATGTGTTGCCTTCTGATTGGCTGGTTACTGATTCAACATGTTCCCATATTTTCTTTTTCATTTCTCTAACTGGATAGATATTTTATCTATTAGATTAGTTGACATTTAAATAATTATATTTTTGGTAAAGTTTTGTTTTAAGTGATAAAAATGTATGGAAATATAAGATAACTAAAATTAAAATAAAATTATTAGGTCTACTACTACTTTCAATCCCACCTTCTATGTCATCTTCTGCTTCTGATTCAGATTCTTGCTGCTTTCTCAAATTAGCCAATAGGAACTGGGCAAAGTTTCCATCTTTCTTCATCAGCTGTAAATATGATCCCATCTCTGTTATACGACCTTCCTGCATGACGATAATTATATCTACAAGTGGTAGCCAGTGGACAGCATGAGTAGCCATGATACGAGTCTGAAAATGTACAAGTAAAATATTTGGACTATATTACAATCAACAGCATAGTTTTGTTTGATAAATTATTTCCCATTTGGCTGCAATTTTTTTGTTTATCTGTTTTCTTACTCACTTCTTTATATTTTACTATTTTTAAATTTTTAAAATTGATTTAATAACTGGCCTTATTTTTTAGCATTCCCTTGTCAGACAAAACACGTTTAAAAATATGTTTCCCAACATGAGAATCCACAGCACTCAAGGGGTCATCTAGTAAGTACAGGTCAGCATTAGAATAAAGGGCTCTTGCAATGCTGACCCTTTGTTTCTGACCACCACTCAGGTTTATACCCTGAGGACAAAACATGTTACATAATACAGAAATTCAGAACTTTTGTCCCACATTTATTTATTATCTGTTATTGTTCCTTACCTTTTCACCAATTTCTGTTTTATCTCCCCCTGGTAGAATGTCTAAGTCCTGCTTCAGGGCACAAGCCTCAATGATCTTAGAGTATTTTTTAAAGTTGAAACTTGTGCCAAAGAGGATATTGTCCTGTAGAGAACAATTCTGAATCCAAGCAGTCTGAGGCACATAAGCAAGACTGCCCTGAAAAGTTGTGACATTTAAAGGTAAAATGATAAGGCTGATTATTTTACTCTTAATATGTGCAATTAATTATTCCTGACAAATTAGATTTAGATGCATTTTTAATTTTAACTCACAGCTGTTTGAACTTGACCTTGCAGACGATCCATTTCTCCCAGTATTGCAGACAGTAAAGAAGACTTCCCACAACCCACTGGGCCAACAACTGCTACTAATGAGCCTCTGGGAATCTCTAGCTTTATTCTATAAAGGGAATTCAGTTAGTTTTTTTTAATGCAATACTTCTATTTTTACAAATTATGATTTAGGTATAGTTTACAACTTTGTAAGCTATTAAATTTATTGTGAAATTTATTAGGCCTTGATCTATTCAATATCTTAAGTAAGTAGAAAAATAAACATTTCAATATTTTTTTTTGAACATTTGTGTACAAACTTAACGAAATTCATTTTTAAAATCAAATTCTAAAATAGATTAAAATAGGTAATTTATAAAAAAAAAATTATTGAATTGCTTTTACTTACAATATTTGCATTTACAATTGCAAATATATAATATCAAATATAAAAAAATCTCACCCACTAAGTCTAAAGCTAGCATCTGGATCCCATGTAAAAAGTCCTTTTTCTATACTTACAGCAGTATCTAAACAGGACATATTATATTTGTATTTCATAAAATGTAATATTCTATAAATCTCAATATTCTTAAAATATTATTAACTTAAGTCCAAACTTAAAATATATTTAGCACAATCATTATGATGCAAAATTTGAAAATATTCTTTATTCTTTCTTCAACCTATAATGTGTGCTTCTGATTGGTTTTGAAAATCTCACTGGTAGAGATTTTGTTGCTTCAAACAGTTAGGCATTAGTAATGTTGTTGGACTACATTAGTAGGCCTATATATTAATACTTAATATAAGTAGGCTTCGGCCAACTTATATTAAGTAAGGCTACATATTTGAGACATTTAACCCAAATTAAGTATTAGTGATTGACTTTTAATAAATGAATGATCTACACTGCATGTAGTTGACATTTTAAAAAGAACTTTACTATTTAAAACCTTGTACAAATATACGTAAAATAATACATTGTTCATATCCTCTTTAAATATTATGTAATATTCAATTGTTTTTCTGGCATCAAAATTTTAACCAACCTTTCAAATCTCTCCGATTGTAATGTGAACGATCTAGTTCTGTTCCACATAAATACTTTTCTATTCTTTTCACAGAAACAGTTGCCTATCAAATACCATTTTTAAAATATAAATAAATGATTTAGTCTTCATTTTCAAATCTTTACTTAAGGGCGACTGTAAAAATAATATTACAAAAAATAATTTTAAAAATTTATTGAAAGAAAGAAAATATTAAACCTGGGTTGTAAAAGAGACCATCTCTGGAATAAACGCAATAGGGAATTGTAAAATATTGAAGAGCGCCAAAGTCACAAATGCTGTATCAGCTGTTAATGGCAGATCTGGGTAGACCAGGAGATATGTAGTAAAAGATACCAGACACACCTGCAAACATACACATAGGTTAGCAAACATATTTTCATGAGCTAATACTATATACATCATTTGTTTAAAGTATCTTATAAAAATTTAAAAGAACTATTACTAACAAATGAATTATCTAGTAAAAGGAAAATATCAAAAAGCTACCAACCAAGTATGGTGCACATGTCCAGATAAAAATGCTAATAGCATTAAGCCAAGCTAATTTTGTCAAAACATTCATCTCTCTCTGTCTAAGCGAAATAATTTTTTCTTGAAATGATTCTTCCCAAGCATATAACTTGAGTACCTATAAGAATGTGGTTTCTTTATAAATTATTTGTCTGATTATGTGAAGATTTTTTTTACTAGCACCTAATAGATCATGCTATAGTTTATTTTTAAGAAATTTTAAAGAAAGAATGATATATGTATAAATGTATTGAAATGAAATACTGACTTCAATCTTAACAACTCATAGTGAAAATGGTCCTTTTATTACCTTAATTCCACTAAGAACCTCATTGACCATCTTAATTCTTTTATCTTTCCATAACAGATTTTTATGCTGCAGCCTCTGCTGGTGGTATGCAATGACACCATTGAAAGGTACCAGCAGCAACAATAAACCCAGCCCAGCCAGTACAGGAACTCCTAGTGTGTTCCATAGTAAATAAACTGCTAGAAATATCTGAAATTATTGACCAACATATTCAGATGTTTAATTTACTTGTATGGCAGTTTTTCAAATCAGTAAATAAAACAATGTTTTTGTGTAAAGATTGTAACAATGAACCAAGAATATTTAAATGTCAAAAGAATATTTTATTGGTATCTTTTGCCATCTTTGTTGGCACTTGTAGTTTCTAGTGTCAAATAGGAGTGAATTCTAATCAAACTGCTGTAAGGGAATTGACCACACCATTCAAGTTATCTACCTCTAAGGGAATTGACCACACCTTCCAGTTATCTACCTGTAAGGGCATAGACCCTACAACCCAAGTTATCTACCTGTAAGGGAATTGACCACACCATCTCAGTTATCTACCTGTAAGGGAATTGACCACAACATCACAGTTATCTACCTGTAAGGGAATCGACCACACCATACCAGTTATCTACCTGTAAGGGAATTGACCACACCATCCACATTATTTACCTGTAAGGGAATTGACCACACCATCCACATTATTTACCTGTAAGGGAATTGACCACACCATCCACATTATTTACCTGCAAGGGAATTGACCACACCACCCAAGTTATCTACCTGTAAGGAAATCGACCACACCATCCACATTATTTACCTGTAAGGGAATTGACCACACCATCCAGGTGTAACTCATTAGATCTTGCACCCTCTGACAGTCAACAGACATGAGGTTAACGACCTCACCAGCTGTACTTTGGTGTTCACTGCTTGTGTCTAGCCATAAGCTCTGAATTGCAGGAAATAATGTGAACATTATCATTATTAAATTTTTAGAATTCTCAATCTTTCTTTAATATAGTTTTTATACATTGTTTTACTGTTTTTGCATAAAACAACAATCTGATTAGTAAAATATTTAACATTTTTTAATTTAAAAAAAGTCTGTTTATAGTCTTTAGTTAGTTGTTTACCTTTTTATAAATAGCAACCATGAGAGCAGTTTTCATCCTCATTCCCGAGGTCATGGCTAGATGGTAATGTTGATGGTAAAAAATTGTCTGGCACCAAGAGGCACCCAACATGGCTGCAGCTAAAACATAGCCATACCAGGCTGGTTCTAAGTTGATTGCTCCAATATGGAGGATCAACCCTCTTTAGTGGAAAAAAAAAACAACGATTTTTTTAGTTTAAGTTCAGAGAGATATGTTTATTAGTTAAATGGATTTTTAGTAAGGTTTTCTTGAAGAAAATTATCAAATGAATAGCTGCACAAACAAATGACAATATTTCTTTAAAAATACTTCCAAATTCCAATAAATATGCAAAACCACAAAAAAATAAATAAAAATTAACTGAACAAATGCATAACAATATTTCTTTAAACAAATTGCTTCTCAATTTACGACTTAGCTTGAAGCAAAACAAAAAAAAATGATGAAAAAAGGCTTAGTTGACCTACGATACTAGATCTAACTCATAATTATAGTAAACAAACAATTGCACAACCCTATGCTGTCTTTTTTGTAAAACAATATTTTTTCTGTTCATAAATATGAACAGGTTTTTAAGTTAAATGATTTTTAAAAAAATGTTTTCTTAAGAAAAATTACTTAACAAAAACTGAACAAATGAATAACAATATTTCTTTAATAAATAATTCCAAATTCTATTAAAGATGCAAAACCACACAAAATAAATTAACAATTAACACAAAAGAAGTATTGGCAAAAAGCAAACTTCAATCAAGATAGTAATTAATAAGTTACTAATCAAGTAAGTTGAGAAGAAATGGCCAAACAAACTGTCTTAACTTACTTGAGAAGAAAGGGCCCAACAAATTGTAAGACGTCTGAGACTGCCTTACAAATGTAAGACAAGAAAACTTCCCAGCCAAAAGCTTTGACCAGCACTTTAAAAAGTGAACATTTTGTTTTTCTGTTTAATGGCAACTTGACAACTTCCACTTCTTCATCTTTTCTCTTTGACATAAATCTTTTTAACAATGGCGATCTTTCATTTGACGAATGACTCCCAGTCTGACCTAATTTAAAGATGTTAAAATCTGTAAAACAACTAAATGTTACCCAGACTATTAAAGAAAACATTATTGGTAACAGTTGTAACAGACTAAAGTAAAAAAACAAAACAACTTCCATGACAGCCATAAATATTAGATCTCTATAAGCATTAGATAAAGATTGGGCATGACAAAAGAAACATAAATTATTTAAAAATTCATTATTTAAAGTTAATATAATCTTTTAATTTGAAATTTAAAAAAAAATGTTCTAATGTTTGAGGCTTTTAAGATATATTGTAAAAAAAAAAATAGTCCCGGTGTTGAAGAAGACCCGTGTAGCACAACTTCTTACCATTAACCCTGTCCGAGCCAGAAGTGTCACTGTTGGAATGACTCGAAGTCCCATTTCCTAGCTGCCAGCTTTTTTGTCTGTCAAGCCTTTGGATGAGTTTAGACAAGTACATTTAAGTAATTGTTACTCCGTTAGTGGAGCTAAAATATGACCTGCCTTGATAAAAATATTCTTAGTCTGTTGGCTCAGGAAGAACATAGTGGCCAAAAATGTATCTCACCAGGATTTATACTAGCATACTTCGTTTAAAAAATGTATTTTCAATGAGATTGTGTTTGAACTAATATTGGAAAATCTGAAGGTATTGGATAATTTTCTGTAATTAAAAACAGTCAAGTTGTTCAGTAAGAGCACCATTACCCTTTTCTTCTGATGCAGCTATTCCACGCCCTAGTGAATCTTCCAACTACAGTTTCACAACAGTCACGTGGGTTCAAGTTCCAGAGGTCTTCAGAAGTCAGAGCTCGCCTGTAGCCAGTTAAGATAAGTCTGGAGGAAAAGTAGATCAAATAGATTAAAAAATGGCGTCGATTAGACCAAAAGCAGAGGGGTCTGGTGTCATTTATATAGTGGAGGCAGGGGGGAGTAAAAAACTCCCCAACCCCAGGCAAACTCCGTGACCTAACTCCAAGGTATGACTTCATTTGTGGAAACCTATATGTCGCCTAGGTTTAAGGCGGGGAAGGGGAGGGGGAAAGGCCATTTAGGTGGTCCAAATCCGACCAAAACAACGGAATAATTTTTTTTCAACTTAATAGACTAATGATTTTGAAAAAAAAAAACCAACAGATCTACTACAGCAGTGATTGTTCTACAGTAACTAACACACACTATTGCAGAGACAAAAAAAAAAAAAAAACAAAACAACAACAGGGGCTGTAAGGGGTCGTCAATAAATAACGTCACACTCGTAGGGGGAAGGGAGGTCCGTAATTTTGAGACGGTGTAGGACGAGGGGGAGGGTTCAGATGGTGTGACGTCACACTTTTGCATAAAAAAAGCAATTTTAGAAAACGAATTTTAGCCATTATTTCGTGTTTTAGAA